GTCTGACCCAGTATTTTAATTGGCAGCATTTTAAGGTCTGTTTTTTCTAGGAGAATTTGCAATGCACTGAGAAGACCTCATTTCAACAGTTAGATATCCTTGGTCTGGAAGAGTATAAAAATGCCACTATCCTTCCATGATACATTGCCAAGGCTCGAATATTGCAATGTTTTCTGAATATACGATATGAATCTTAATATCCATTTAGTAAATGGGACTGTGTTCACTGCGGCACGCGGATAGGGTAGGATAACCGGTGGCAGGTGCGAGACTTTTGGATGATTAAGGGCTTCATCAGGGCCCTCTTCGGTGAGTTAGTGCCATGTTTTCAACATCCTCCCATGAGATTTCAGAACCCATAGCCATGCCCAGGGGAGTGCCTGCCGTACTTCAGAGTCTCACAGCCTCTGACCATTACTCCTTGGTCACTAATCCCTTTGAGGCAGGCAGGTCCACCATAGGCAGAGAGGTCATGGAGATTTCATACTTTAAACCTTCTTTATTCCAGTAGTGCTGTGGATGACATCGGAGAAGCTCTCTAAGTCTTTCGTCTCCACGACCTTCTAAATTGAGAGGGGGGGGGGGGTTGACAAGATTTATATTCTCCTTCTGTTCCCAGCCTACTGCAGCTACAGCTACATACACTGTAAGGCTTTGCTCCCCTAAAGGAGATTTATGGATTTCCCAGCAGATTTTGGTGCAGGGAGTCATGGTGTGGCATTTTCAAAAACTCCAGCCTTGGGCTTGGTGGGGGTATGTCTACCTCCATTCCAAGAAGGTGTTCACGGTGTTTATGTTTTTTTGGGGAAATACCATATACCCTAAGTTGTTTGATCATAAGGCCATACCCTGACAGTAAGAGTGCACCTGCAAGGTTCCACCATGCCTTTTCTACATGTAGGCTGGAAGCAGGCTGAGCTTCTGGTCATCTTGCTACCAGATGATGAGCTTTGCTCAGTACGCAGATTCAGCTCCAGCACTCCCAACGATCTCCAGTTATGAGTGTTTTCTGAGTCCTGCACGAACTCCATGGGGATGCAGGTGAGCCCTTCCACCTAGGGTTGACCAATGGGGACTAGTTTCCTGGTGTCTGCATGTATGGCCTCTCCTCCTCTCTGGGGGCACTGGGGGACCAGGAAAGCAGGGGTGTCCTAGACACTTTCTGCATTGTACCTGAGGGCACATGGAGCACAGTGGAGAGGCTATTGAACAGCAGTGCCCTCTCGCAATGACTGTAATGAGAAGCCTACAAAAGGAAAGCTTTCTGAGATGTTGATGTATCCTCTTCCCTTCTTCTAGGGGAAGGGATGGAGAGGTTCTTCACCCCCTGGTGCAGCCCATAAAGCTGGCCTGCTTCGTCCGCTCACTCCTCAGGGACAAGACATCCACTACCCCTCTAGTTTACTCTCATTGTTAGCAGTCGCAATCGCGAAAGAACTTACCTACCCAAAGCAGATAAGCAGGCACTTCTTTATGCCAGCGCTGGGGAACACGGGGGAGAGCTCCACCAAGGACGTGTTCACCGACAGGTACAGGGCACAACATATTTATACGTTTTTTCAGCAGAGTCATAGTTCCATAAGATCAACAAAATTCATAAAGTTTAAGTTGACCTTAATAATGATTGGCTTTCAGTTACCTCACCTTACCTCTATTCCTATTCTGCAGAAATCATTGGGCATCGTTACTGCTTGAGTTAAATAGAATGGGGGGAGGGCAATGATTAGCATATTCATGTTATTTCCTGGGAGTCATTATCATATGCAAATGTCCCTAACGCATGCGTGGCTATGTTGGACGGGGGTGCTCTGGTGCTCGTCGATAGTCTTCCTCACTGTGTCTGCTGGTTGAACTCCATCCTTGCTCATGCTCATTTCATCTTTGGCTAATGCTCATTTCTCCTTTGGCCGATCTTCCCAACCAAACCAGTTTCTTCTGGTACCTGTTGTTTCAAGTCAAGATCCATAACCAGCACCTATTGTGTTAATTCAGAGTCCAAAACGATTGTTATAGTGTTCAAGGCACACAGCATACTAGTTGCTTAATCCTAAGGGCCCTAGTGTACTTTATATTCTCAGAGCTGCTGTAGCTTCTTGTTAAATCAAAATCATACTTTTAAACTAAAATCAAAGTAATATTCTAGGATTCAAACTGTTTTATTAAGGCATTTGCAACATTATTATGGGGTGTCTGACCTTCTCTGCCCTTTCGGTCCCTCCTCTGGTGGCACAGGCCTCCGTGGCTCTCAGGAAGTCACCGTCACTGTCACAGGCGTCTTGCACTGGGGAGATCCAGGCAGCAGCCGCAGCCCAGCGGGAAGGGTGATGGGGTGGGAGAGGGTTTGCCTGCTAACAGATCTGCAAGAAGCAGCGGGGAGAAAAAGCGGCAGGGGTGGGGAAGCTCAATAAAGGCTGTGAAGGCAGAACTACGCTTGATAAGGAGACAGGGGCCTGGGCTTATTTGATTAGGTCCTGGAGGAAGCAAGGCGACCTTCCCTCCCCCCGTTTCCCCAGTGTGGGGCAAGAGCTTCTCCCCTGCTCCTCGGTCCCCCCTTGTGAGGGGGCATCAGTGCCCGTGGGCCCCGCTCCTGCCACGTCCCCATCCGGGGGACACTGGGCGAGGCTTGACGGCAAGGCCTGGGATGGGTATGAGAAGGAGAGGTGCAGGAACAGAAACAGCCTGGCAGGAGCAGCCAAATGGCAAAGCAGGTCATTGCAAGCCCACCGCCGGCTCTGCTCAGCGGGGAGGAGGGGCCGGGGGGGGGTCTCGCTGTCTGGCCTCGGGTAACTGTGTTATCGTGACACATCCCCTTGTGCAGCTCACCCAGGCCCCGGCAATGCACCGGGCAGTTGTGCAGGCTGGGGCTGGGGCCCGAGGTTTCCGATGCATGCAGTTCCTCTGCAGGAGGCTTTTCCGACAGCGTATGGCTCCAGTGCATTTCAAAACACAAGAGTCCCCGCGTGCAGCCTGGCCAAATCCACCCCCTCTCCACAGCGCTGGGGCCGGTGCTGTAACCCCGCCAGAAATCTTACAGCTCCCCATTCCTCTACTTCAGAGACGTTGTGGAAAAGGTGTACAGGTCTGCTGGGGTCAGAACCGGGGCTGACGGCAAGGGAGGTGGCTGGCGGAGCCGCGGACGAACGACACGCCGAGACGGGTTCAATGTGGAAGACAGAGCATCAATCAACGTGTGTGTTTATTGGTCCAGGGTACATATATTTATACAGACAACGATAATTATTATGCCTACTAGTCACTAGCTGATTGGCTTAAGCTCTAAAGGTCGTATTCACACGGTCCACCTACTTGCAGTTAGCTTACAGCACAAGCTTCTCATAACACTAAGTTTCTCATGCTACTATTTCTAATTCCTGTTGACTTGTTTTCGATACACGACAGTACCGTAACACAATGTTTCTCAGACCACCGTTATCATAACACTGGGTTTCTCAGGCCACTATTCCTAATTCCCCTTAACCTGTTTTCAACACACCACGGTACACAGGGCTGAAGCGTCCTTGACATTCCTCCTGTATCAGCAGCTGCGAGCAGCTGCAGGCAAACCCTAGTGAGGCTCAGCATCAGCAGCTAGAGCAGGCTCTGATCATACAACTGCTCGGTGGGCTCAGGACCCTTGTCTCTGAGCCATTCTCCAACAATTCCCCCTTTTTCTTTTTGTATGAGCAGAGCCTGCCCTAACGTTCGTTCAAAGATTGTCTTAATACATGATAAGGCACAATTTAGGCATGCAGGCTTACAATCTACTGGCTAAAGGCACGGGACCCTTGTCTCTGAGCCATTCTCCAACAGTGGCTGGCATCTGCTCTGTAGGGGAGGAGGCTGAGGAATTGTCCCTGGATGTGCTGTCCCAGGAGTCTGTTGTGGGACTTGGGGCCAGGGCGTCAAGGGTGATGTCCAAAGGCTCACACTCCTCCAGACCCTCCTACCCGGGGACGACGAGATTCATGGTGCGGAAAGCCAAGACAGACGCTGGCTCATTTGTGTGCTCCCTCCCAAAGACTTTCTGAAGCTCCCTGTCCTGGGCATAGGACTGACTGCTGATTACAGTTACGGGCCTGCAAGAAGACTAGCTTAATCTTTGACTTTTTAAGGCAGCCTTGTTCACTGCTAGTTTTGTAGGTGACAGCTGGTGGGAGTTTCTCAACTTTCTGAGATTGCCACTGGGTTATCTTCCCCCTTGAGAAACTCTTCTCCCTCTCATGGCACAGGCTCATGGGAAACGTCGTATCTTCAGAGCTGCAGGCTGCAGTTATCTGAATTTTTTGGCAGGTGAAAGAGGGAGATTCCAGTGTGGTAGAGGAGAGTAGAAGTGTGGAGAGGAGATAATACAAAAGAGGAAGATAATGAAAGATGAGTTCAGCAAGGGAGTTCAACAGTAGAAGGCAGGAAAAAGTGAGAAGAGAAAGGCTTCAGATCTGAAGTCTGGATGAATGAGGATAAAGCAGCAGATAGGCAGACATAGCTAAAGCAGTTGAGGACTGGCAGTTGACAGCAAATAGGAAGATATTTGCAGTACTTGACCCTGCAACCTCCTTCAGGCTTTGAGGCCACTCTTCAGGGTCCGAGAGCCTTCTGGGAATGCAGGTACCTTAACTACATGATGGAGGTCCTTGCAGTGGGAAGTCGACACAAGGATTTAGGACCCATTACTCCGCTGAGTGCTGGAGTGCTGTGGAGCAGAGCTCCTGATTTGGTTTCATCCAACGGGAATCTACTTTGTGCACACTAGCACCACATTGAGAAACCAACTTCAAAGCTACCCTAAGGCAGACAGAATGACTGTGACTTAAATGTATCTGAATAGCTTCGTGACCATGATCAAGAATTTTTATCAGAATCTGTATTATTATTATTGTTATTATTGTTATTATTGTTATTATTGTTATTATTGTTATTATTGTTATTATTATTATTATTATTATTATTATTATTATTATTATTATTATTATTATTATTATTTCCTTGAGGGTTCTATTTAAAGGTATATTTTAAAAAAGAAATAATATGATTACTGCTTATTGTTTCTAGCTTTCTGCAAAACAGAAGAAACTAAAAAGAACGTTTTCTGAACAGGACAGCTTTGCGATAACACAAAGAACTCCACCCATACTCTGCTTTTGTGCTATGTTGTAAATATTTCAAACCCAGATAAGTTTGTATAGTAGCTGACAGATATATTGATTTTGCAAGTATAAATCTTTGAACAATGTCACTTGCATTTTTTTTAAAGACCAAATAAATTGAAAGATCTGCAGCCTTGAGGAAGGGAGGAAAGAGTAACCCTCTGTGAAACTTGAGTTATGTATTTGCACCACAATGGTGAATTATTTTCATGTCTATTGCCTAAAGGCTGACTTCTGTTGATTTCCTAAACCCTAAAGAACAGAGTCTGAGCCTTCAAGTTTGCAGATGTCTGAAGCTCTGCAGAACTGACATTGATAAGCTTTACCAGCTTGAAAATAAGCCCTTTCGTAGCTTTCCTATCAGTAATTTTCTTTCACGTTCTGGTTTTTCTAAGTGTGGTTGAGTATCTGACGCCAGGGTCACACAGGCAGCTATGGCTAACACCAGACTTCTCCGCCCTTGCTCTGCACCTGTGTCTTGTGCACCGGCGGTGGTCTGGGCAGTGTGACTGGTTTAGACGAGGGCCAGGGGTGTCTCTCATGTCTCTCTAGCTGCCAGGCAGGCCTGAATCCCAGCATTCCTGAACACGCACAGTTGAGCTGGTTTCCGTCCGGCCCCTATCCATGTAGCTGTGCATTTTGTTAATGAAACTCCATCATCATGAAGGCTTCAGACATCTTCTACAGTCGAAGATCTCCTTTTACTTACCAGGCATCTTATTGATAGTCATGAGGTAGAAATAAGCAGGGCAGGCTTGATTCAGTTCAAAGTATTCAGGAAACCCTGGAATGTAGACATCTCATCCTCTGTTGATGATAATCAGGAAGTCAGTCTTTAAATTCAGAATTTGGATTGTCTGTCGATGATCACACCTATTTGCTAGCTCATTCGTAGAAACTAGAGAGGAGAAAGATGCAGTGACATCTTTTGTTCCCTAAGTGCAGAACCAGTCTCTCTACTTGAACCTTAACCTAGCCTAGTTTATCAAAAATTATAAGCCTGGCTTACCAAAATGTTCATAAAAAATAAAGCCAGTCTGGAGGGTTTGCTGTTCTTTGATGCAATATTTCACTACAATTTTATGGGTGAATCTGTAGCTGGTCACACTTTTTTTTTTTTTTTTTCCTGGTGAAAATACGTTATAAAGTTGTATCTGGCAAAAGTGGTTTTCCTATAGCTCCTTCCTTTTGTGGTATGATGGTTCTCTGCACCTTTTTCTGAGAACCCAGAGCTGAACAAGACTAACTGGTAAACACAACTGCAGCAGAGATCTGGACTGCAGAGCAATGCCCTCACAATAAGAAATTGATAGGAGCAGAAGTTTTGTTGGGAAGCTCTCTGTTACAGCAAGATAAGATGTGTTTTGAGGAACCTCTGAACCTTAGCTATGTTTATCCCACAAGCTGTCACCAGTGTGGCCGTGCTGTGAAGAAGTGCAATCCCGGATGGGTAGAGGTGTGCTGGTAGAAACCTTTAGCGTAATTCCACTGCGTCAGCAAAACTTCAAGAAGGAGGTATGTAGACATTCATAGGTCTGTGTCACTCCACCACTTTACTGAACTAAAGTTTTGGTCCTCCAGCTTCCCTCAGCAGCCCTTTAAGCAGAAACATGGGTGACGAGAACAATTCTTGTAGCTAAGAAAGGGCTAGAGATGGAGGGCTGTTGAAGGGCAGTGAGTAAGGTGGTAAACGGCAGAAAGAAGCTCCTTATTGGTGCAGTTTGATGCCTCTCTTCCTCCGTGAGTCAGTGCTTTTCTCCATTCATGCTTCTGCGATCCTCTCTCCCACTAGGCTCAAATTCTGCATCTCAGCAGCCAAGAGGTATGGGTAACACATCCTGACTGCAGACAAGGGATATGCGTAAGTTCAAGAATATCAGCCCGCAGGAGGGACGGAGAAGCCAAAGATGGAGATGATGGCCGAAGTCTGCCAGGAGTCAGAGAAGCGCAGCAGCGTGCCAGATCCTCACCGGATCTGAGCTCATCAGCCTGGTGAGGGTCCAGTAAGGGGGCCGAGTGGGTCTGCAGGGCTGGTTTTGTGGGACGGTGTCACTAGTAGAGTGGTTTTACTACAGAACTCATCTCAAAACCAGACCGGTTTTCTAAGCTAATGCAGGGCAAGGCCTTGAAGACAAATAACAATGTATTTATATAGTGCATTTCTTTTTACCAGCAAACATGAGAAAAAGTACATTGATTCCAGATTACGATGTCAGAGATACATGAAGAACATCTGTCACTATGACAGGATCATAAATCATTGTGCTGAAATCCTGGCATGCTTTTTTTTTCACTGGCAGAGTAGTTCTTTAAAATGGGATATAATTAAGTTGCTGAGAGCCACATATTACCTATTTTAAACCTGTTAGTTTTCTCATGTGAAAAATGTCAGAGAAAATATACCAGTTTTGTTTTGTTTTTAAATGAAGCTAGCTAAAAAAAATGACCACTGTATGTCACAGCAATTCAGGGTGCAGCTAGGAATTGTCCCATGTTGAAGAAATTATAAGGAAAATAAACCTGTGAGTAAATGAAGCAGTGCTGCACCGGCAAACCGTCCTGATGTGGAAGGCAGATAACTAGTAAGAGACCAGTATAGCTGCATCAGGAATTCTCCAGTGACCTGAATATCAAAAAGGAAATCCTACAGAGAGTGAAAGCAAGGGCATGTAAGTGAGATGAGTAATAAAGCAGTAGCATAAACATCTAGGGATAAAACTGGGAAGACTGAGTTACAACTTTCCTGGAGCATAAAAGAGAAGAAAAAGAGGTTCTATAAATACCAAGAAGTTAGAGGAAGAGAAAGGCAGAGGTACAAATAACAGATACCCAGAGTACAGTAAAATGTTTTATTATTTATTTTGCTACATTCTTCATGTATAAGAAAATGTTAATGATAGGTACTTAACAGCATTATTTTTTAAATAAGGGGAAGGATATATGCCAGAATAAGGAAAAAACAATTAAAAAAATGTTTGAATAAATTAGATGTATGCAAGTCTCGAGAGCTTGCTGAAATTAACTTAATTCATACTGGGATCTCAACTTGTTAGCGGTCACAACCGTGAATAGAACTTACCTACCCAAAGCAGATAATCAGGCACTCTATTCCAGCGCTGGGGAACACGGGGGAGAGCTCCACCAAGGACGTGTTCACCAGCAGGTACAGAGCACAACATATTTATACGCTTTTTCAGCAGAGTCATGGTTACGTAAGATCCAATAAAATGCATAGAATGCTCGCTTCTTAATTTGCCCTCTGTAATGACTGGCTGTCAGTTACCTCACCTTACCTCTATTCCTATTCTACAGAAATCATTGGTCAACTTTACTGATGGATTTGAATACAAAGAGGGGAGGGTAACGATCAGCATATTCATGTTATTTCCTGGGAGGCATTATCATATGCAAATGTCCCTAACGCATGCGTGGCTATGTTGGACGGGGGTGCTCTGGTGCTCATCGATAGTCTTCCTCACTGTGTCTGCTGGTTGAACTCCATCCTTGCTCATGCTCATTTCATCTTTGGCTGATCTCCCAAACCAGAACCAGTCTCTTCTGGCACCTATTGTTTTGACTCCAGGTCCATAACCAGTACCCTTTGTTTTAATTCAGAGTCCATAACGGTTCCTATAGTGATCAAGACACACACCATACTGGTTACCTATTCCTAAGGGCCTTAACATACCTTATAGTCTCATAGCTGCTATGACTCCATATTAAAATTGAAATAATATTCTGGAATTCAAGCTGTTTTATTAGGGTGACTGTAACAAGCTTCTCTCTGAAAGTTCCTGGAAGAGTGGATAGAATACTGGGGCTGGCAGCAACCGTGTAACCTAAGAGAGAAATACAGTTGGGATCACAGTTCTGATTGCTGGTAATGATCTGACATTACAGTATACATTTTGAAAATTATTTTAAACAAAACACCCAGTTGGTTTAAAGACTTGCTCTTCCTTAATTCTTGCCGTCATGGCACATGGTTTAAGGAAGAGAAGGGAAGTGAAGGAAAAGGAGAAAAGAAGGGAAAAAAGGGAAAAGAGAGAAGAAGAGAAAAAAAGAAAAGAAGTGAAAATAAGAGAAAAAAGGGAAAAGAAAGGAAGAGAAGAGAAAAGAAAAAAAAAAAGACAAGAGGAAAGAGGGAAGAAAATTGATAAGGTTTCTTAAATGTAGCGTTCACAGCTGGCTCAGATTTGGGCACTATTAAGAATTCTGTTGGCTGCAGCCCTGGTTTGCAGGATTATAACCATTTATGCTTTTAAACATGGGAAAAGAACAACCTAGGGAATTAGAATACTTTGCCTAACTTCAATACCGAGAAAGATAGTGAGACAACTTACTGGGATGTAAATGTATACACGCCATGAGAATAATAAGGTGATAAGAAATAGCCAACATGAATTTGTCAAACTAATCCAGTTTCCTTCTCAAACAAGGCAGCTGGTCCAATAGATAATGAAAAGAGGTAGAAATGACCACGTGTTGACCCAAGATGTGTCTTGACCTAAGTAAGGTTTTTGACACTGTCCTGTATGCTGATAAATGAACAGGGGAAATCTGTCCCCTTGAATTCACTCCTAATTCAATCTACTGCTAAATGTAAACTTAACACACGACTGTTGGTAGTTGCACTAGGAGGATGTTAGAAGAGACTTGCGCAGCTCCTAAAGACCTAGATGACAGAATTAGAAATAATTATATGCTTATAAGCATGGTAGATGACACCACGTAAAGATTTGCAAAACGTGTTCAAGGGCAGAATTAGAATTTTAAAGTATCTCAATAGGTTCTGAAAGGTTCTGAAATCCAACATTAAAAACTTGAACACAGACAATCGCAAGGGACGACATTTGGGAGGACAAAATCAAAAGCACAACCACAGAATGCCACTGCAGATAAAGATCTAGTGATTAATGAGGGCCATGAATGAGTCAACACTGTGATGCTGTTGAGGAAAAGAGATAAATGTAATTCTAGAGTCTCTTGAATTGTCTGCTCAAAACAGTATATGTAAGACAAGAGGTAATTAGTGTGCTCTTCTTGGCACTAGCGAGCCCTCAGCTAAAATACTGTATTTTACTCTGAAGCACCATAATTTAAGAAAGATGTAGATAAGCTGGAAACAATCCAGAGAAGATCAACAAGGACAAGAAGTTTGGAAAATCAGATCCAAAAAGCAAGGTTGCAAGTTTTGCTTTTGATTTAATCTAGAAAATATGAGGCTATATGGGGCTCAACAGTCTTCAAGTACATAAAAGGTTTCAAAGAGTGTAGTGATATGTCTTTTCATGCCCACTAAAGATACGGGCAGAATGTGAAGGAAACCTTTTTAGCTATACTACAATAGGTATTACAGTAACTTGTTGTAATGAGAGGAAAAGATTATCACTGGAATATATTACCCAAGAAGGTCGTATAATCCCTGTCATTAATGTTTTTAGATACAAATTGGAGGGACTGCCATCTACACTTACCAAGACAATTGTGATCTTTCTTCACAGTTAGGAGATGGACCCGATGAATGTTTTGCAGTAGGTGCCTGAGACCCCTGGAACTATGAGAGAACGTACAAGTTATTACAAGGTAATCCATGTCAGGTTTTCACTAAGAAAGCATTTAAAAATTCCACATGTGGACCTGGGCATATTCATTAGCCATTATGGAAGACCACACAGGTTGTTCTCTGGACTTGTTTTTTAAAAAAAATTTGTTTTCCTTTGACTTTGTGTTGTGGGTTTGTTTTTTTTTTTTTTGGTTTTTTTTTTTTTTTGTTGTTTTGTTTTTTGTTGTTGGTTTTATTTTACTTCAGGAAGGTTAGGTACAGCTTTGATTAAAAATACTGAGTACTAACAGACTACATAATCCCTTGACATCCCACCCAACTCTACATCTCTATGATTCATGTGCATTCTACAGTATTTTTTCTGAGTTGTTGAAGAGCTTTGCGAGTACAAGGTAATTATTAAACCGACTCTTTTCCCAGGGCAGTAATGACCTAATGATGTAAGATAGTGCTCAAATGAGGTATTAAACAAACATATCCAAAATAAATACAGATCAAATCATCTTTGCCAATGGAAAAGGACAAAATCTTGTTTTCATTCCAGTGGGTCTGCAAAACAACAGCACGGATACAGACCTCAGTAAAGCTAACAAGTCAGGATTTCTCAATCTGTGAGAAATCCTGAATTTTAGTAATTGTTTTTATTTAAAATTTTAGAATTTGTTTCTAATTTAGAAAATTAGAAAAATGGGAATGGGAGATGGGAATGAGGGGAAAAAAAAGTAAATGTTTTGGAAAGGCTGGAAAGTTTTGAGGGCCTGAATTACAACTGAACATTTCAACATTCAAAAAACAAAATGTTGCAGTATGGTGCACCACATATGTATCCTAGGTGGGGGAGCACAGTGAACATTATAGGAACCACGGTCCCCCAGGGACCCTAATATACACAAGAAAATGCCAACCAGAATTACAGTGCAAATAAAATAGCACTCTACAATATGATATTTTTTTTGTGCCAGCTCAGAATAAATCTTTTTAAAATCACACTCCCAAAGGAAAACTGAGCAAAACTAAGGTTTTCAGAAAATGTGCTCTTTGTCAGAAATTCAAACCCATGTAAAACTTCTGACAAACTCTAGTCACTACTTAATATTAAAAAAAAAAGTCTCAAAAATGTTTTCTAGAGAAATCTGTGCTTGTCACAGTGCACGATGGTGTTGACCCAAATATGACCAAACACTTTCAGTGTTTACAGTCACCAGTGTTATTTTAGTCTAGTAAAGATGGTCATAAGGCTCAAATATAAGATCAGGGTCTGGACCAAATATGACTCTCCAGAAATTCAGAAACATTTAGATTTGGTGTTTATTGATTAGGCCATAGTTCAGTGAATGTATGTTGATCCTTTTGCTCTTTTAAAAATACACATGACTTTTGGACACCAGAAAAATGATTTCATACTGCATGAGAACATTCTCTTGTAAACAAACACCGGAGCTTGTGAATTTTGCTGTGCAAACAGATGAATACTGACTTAATGAATCCGGCTAGCTTCTGGTCTACCATCAGACACTCTACCCTTGCTGAACAACAGTAAAAAACTGCAGAATTTCAAAGACGCCGGTACAAACCTGTCAGGTGTCGAGGACAGCCTTAATCCCAAAGTGAAAAGAGACAGCCAGACGCCAGTGAATAAATCTCAGTTCAGCTGAGCTTGCTTAGGGCAGCCCTGGTGAGGTGGTTTCGTGGTTGGGACCCGTAAAACCAAAGGTGGACTCAGTGAATAAATCTCAGTTCAGCTGAGCTTGCTTAGGGCAGCCCTGGTGAGGTGGTTTCGTGGTTGGGACCCGTAAAACCAAAGGTGGACTCAGTGAATAAATCTCAGTCCAGCTGAGCTTGCTTAGGGCAGCCCGGGTGAGGTGGTTTCGTGGTTGGGACCCGTAAAACCAAAGGTGGACTCAGTGAATAAATCTCAGTTTCAGCTGAGCTTGCTTAGGGCAGCCCGGGTGAGGTGGTTTCGTGGTTGGGACCCGTAAAACCAAAGGTGGACTCAGTGAATAAATCTCAGTTTCAGCTGAGCTTGCTTAGGGCAGCCCTGGTGAGGTGGTTTCGTGGTTGGGACCCGTAAAACCAAAGGTGGGCTCTTTGGTTTGTAGGCCAGGATGTTGCGTACAGCCCCATGGCACACACCAACAGCCTGAAGTGGCTTAAGCAGCTTAAATAGCTTTAAGCAGCTTTGAAGACTTAGGCGCTTTAAGCTTATAAAGCAGTTTAAGCTGCTTTAAACTGCTCGAGGACTTTAGCAAGGGCCCCTTCAGCAGGAAGCCGGCTGCGGGTCACGGCTCCCTCGCCATCGGCATCGCCACAGATCCTGCCCGGAGCCTGCGCAAACGCAAACAACTCGTATGGGCATGTTTTGGCAATGATGCTCTATAAAACAATGACAAGTATACCCTCTCCCCTCGGTTAGCTCATTGTTTCTTCCTCTTTTGTAGCTACTTCCCCTCCCCATCCACCTCCTCTTTTTTTCTATTTTTGCCCATTTTGCTCAGGCTCTTTCAGCATCTGTTTCCTCTCTAATTAACTCTTCCTAAAGAGATCAGTGGAGCGCTCTTGCTGCAGTGATACACTTTTATGAAGAAAATGTGTCTTGATTCAGCCTATTCAATCCACACAGCTGGGCTGGGGGCAACCATTCATTTGCATCACTGTGGTTTAACCTAAATCTCGAACTTTTTTTCTTAAGAGAAGGGCATGAGTTGACAGAAGCATTGTGGAAAAACCCAACAGCATCATCCTAGAAAGTACCAGTGGCAGCCATTAGATTATCACCTACAAATGCAGGTAACCAGGTAGGCTAGCATTGTTCAGAAGACGGAATACAATGCACCAAATCTACATTGCATTTCCTGGCATTTTGGAGGTTTCAGAAAGGATGTAGGAGGAGGAAATCTGGGGACAGCTGTCCAGAAAAATGGGTAGATGTGTCTTCCTACATTGGTAATGTTGGGGCTGAAAGGACTTTGCTTTCAGTTTTCACTCCACCTCTCTGAATTGGGGGTGTGCTGCACTACACAGGTCATTCTGTTCTTACCAAAGGATGTAACATCCCCTGCCCGCGACAAACAAGACAGCGGTGTGCAACTGCCGTGGTAGTAACTAGGGCTGTGGTGATGATGTGCTAGAGCACTTGAGCTGGAAGTCATGCCCTCGCTGCTGAGGATCCACTCAGGCCTACATCGTCACGTTTTTCTCGTGTTTGAATCCCCTTCCCAGTTCCTTTAGTAGGAATATGCTGTCCTCTTTCGTATCCTTCGCTCATTCCCTGGGGTCATATCCGAACTTCTCAGGTGTTCTCTCCCCAGAGTCCTCAATCAAACTGGCCCCACATTTTTCACAGGCTTATGGAGTCCCATCACACGCAACTTTGTATATATCACACACTCTAATCACAATTTAGCTGAGAAATGTAACTGTAAGATTTATACTCAAATACTGTGTTTCAAAGACTTGAGGGTGTAAGCAGGAAGAGAGATCACGGTCAGCCTTACTCACCGTTCTATTTTTTGCCAATTATCTATGCTCTGCATTCCTAAATAATGTTGCATATCACCATAGTGTGCATTGCATGCACGGCATGTCCAATGTGGCAAGCATCACTTAACACTTTTGTTGAGGCTTCATTTATACCCACTGCTATTTCCAGCAACCTGAAAGCACGTTTGTGTCCGTTTTTATTGAAGAAAATGATTTCTAGCATGATCTATTCTTTTCAAGTCATCAATGAGTTTTAATCCCTTTTACTATTTATCCAGCTATCAATTATTACTTCCTTCGGAATGTGTTCTAAAACTCTACTTATGATGCCAGTAGGATTCACTAGCTTGTAAGTCATTGAATTCTTTCTGTTTCTTAAATATTGATTTGATATACTCCCATCAGGTGACACCACTGGTAGTTAACAGATTTATTGATAGTGGAGTATCAGAGCCATTGGACCGTGGTTCCCTTCGGTTCATGCCGTGTGTCTACAACATCCTCCTGGTAGCCCCAGCTCCTTCTCAAGCTCCAGCCAGTTTGGCAGGAGAAAAGACAGGTTGTCTGGGCTTCCCGTGGGCTCCGTGGTCAGTCGGAGAGTGTTAGCTGCTTGGTGTCCAGGCAGCTCCCAGGCTGGAGAAGATGGTGAGCTGCACCCACCATTCCCGCAGCTCCCGCAGTGATTTGGGTCTCGCTCGTCTCCAGGCAGCTGCCTATTTACATCAACAATTAGTGACGGGAATTTATGAGGTTGATTAAGGTTAATGATGAGCATGGAAAAGTCATCTTCGTTGGATTCTGAAAAGCTGAATGTAGTCGTCTATTCATAACTTCTGCATTTTCTTTCAAATATTTTTCTTCATGTCCGAGAAGGTCCAGTCTGTGTTACAAGAGAGTTTGGGTAGTTTCAGATCTGATGGATTTTCTTAACATTTGTAAATCAGAAAACATATAACACCAGGCATCAGGTTATGTATATAGGCCGCAGTTTGGCAGACATTTACACATATGCCCAATTTTCAATCACAACTCGATTTCCTTTGGCTTCCAGGAAGATTTAGTGTACGTTAAAATTAATTCATCTAATTTGAGGTGATAGCAGCACTGCATGTTTGCATACCTTGGTAAACAACTGCACGTGTGCCAAAAATTTTTTGTTGACTGCTTTGAGCCTAGTGAGGCCACACATTTGTACTGATCCACAAGTGGAAAAAGAAATTTTTCAGAGGTGCTGTTGGACTAAATCACCAAGTGCTGGCAAGCTGCTGGGGTCCTGTTGCTGGGCAGATCACCAGGTGTTGGCCCATCACTGAGGGCTACTTCTCCAATTACCAGCTACTCACACAACAAAAATGTATGGGACGCAAGACTCGCCCTCACTGTCTCCTTGATGAGTCTGTAGGATCACAGCTGACATTGCTACAGGACAGCATGGGGCTTCATAGCCCAAACTGACACTTTTTCCCACCCCTCCATCTTCCTCAGCATCTCCACAACTTTGACATTCCCACCACTGTTTAATTTTTTTTTTTTTAATAATCTTGTTTATCTGAAATAAGCTGGTAGTTCATTTTAACTTCAAAAAATAACTTATTTTTACATTTGTTCTTAGTTTTTTGGTTGGTTGTTCTTTTTTTTCAGCTTTGGTGGCTAGCTTTTTTGGCTAAAGAATGATACAGTGAATTAGATGAATCCATTACATGTCTGCAAATACCATTTCCCTAGGTTTCAACACCAGCCCAATTCTTTGGCTCTGCTGGAAGCTATCCTAAGAGGTAGGCAGAGTTTGAGATTTCAGGAAGAAAGCCAGTGTTTGCACTCTACCAATATTAATTGCACGCATTGCCTCTTGCATTCTTGATTCTGTAATTGGGCTGCGCTTTCATCTCCACCCATATCCTGCCTTGACACACATCCATGTGCAGATGACGGGGGGAGTGATGGGTGAGCCAGCCAGCTGCAGGCTGAGTCACCCCAGGATGGTAGACCGTCATCTGGCAATTAGGATGGAGCAGAAGGAAGTGTGCCAGCAAAACAGGTGACCCGAGCAATGCATCGCACCCCACGTGCCAAAATGGATATTGCACAATCCTGTGCTATGACGGAGAAATGCGGAGAAGATCACAAGCATGCGTTTCCAAAACGGCCCTCAAAGTAGGAAGGAAAGATACAAAAAAACCTCAGCCTATTTCTTTTCATGGACGACTAATACCAAAGGTGAATATAACAATCAAGAAATGGATAGAGCGGTGATACCCTACAACCCTCTCAGTATTTGTAGTCACTTTTATTTGGGTGTCTTTTTCTGTGCACGGAGGCTCAAGAGAGGGATCACAAACACTATTTATGAGTATGCAACAATTATGCCGTTTGTTGGACTGTACACACAATAAATGGCTGGGACTAATGTGCTATTAGCTTAAGCACTGATGTCCTCACCGCCTCTGATGCAGGTACCCACTGCGTTTCTGCTGCTCAGGCAGATGGTAATCACATGGGGAAGTGCCAGTCTCCATTGCTCTTTGCAGTAGGCTGATCCTCAGTCTTGCTGAGCTGCCATCTTCCATTTTGACTTTTTTTCCTCAGGGTTTTAGACCCTTTTTCAGTTAGTATTTTTTCCTTCGGTTCTCACGTGACCTGTTACCAACTCAACAACCTCACTTCTGTTCTTGTTTCTGCTTTTTTTAATATTATTTTGCTTGGCTTCGGTTTATGTGCTGTCACTCATAGCTTAGCAACCTTTTATTTAGTAAAGCAAAGCTGGGGTCATATGGCTGACCAAGGCCTTGTGTTAAAATAGTAAGAGCGTGTGGAAGATCTACCAAAATGGTGGGAGAGAGACTGATCTGTGCTTGTTGTCTAACACACTTCTAAGCATGATGCTGGCTTAAAAATGTGGACCTTGACAGATGGCAAAAAGACTCCAAGAAACAGATACTGACACGAACACCACCTGGGGTCAGGTGTGCTATATAACTGGTGGCATCAGTGTTGGTCTTTGTAATGCCAAACAGGAGAGTCTGGGAAGGATGGACTTCAAAGGGAAAATTACTTCAAAATCAGTGATATGAAGCTGAAAATATTCTGACTTTGACCATGCACGGACTTATAATGAAAAAAAATTTACTGTGTGGATAAGTAATCACAGGCCCAGGTTGCTCGGAGAGGTTTGGTAGTCTCCATCCTTGGGGGTTTTCCAGACGTGACTGGATAAACCCCGAAGCAGCCTGGTCTGAGCTCGGCTTTGACCTTGCACTGAGTGAGGCGGATGGACTAGGGGCCCCCGGAGTCTCCCTCCAGCTTGGATCATTCGGTGATTCTGCGATTTAAGCTACTGTGGGAGCCAGAGGGTAGGTGAGGTGGAGAAATGGTGCTACAAAGAGAACATGCTCTGCACGACATGCCCCAGCATGACTGAGTCTCTGTAAAACTTAGCTGCTGCCATCCACGGAAGGTGATTCCGTCTCTCTCCAGGTCCTGTCCTGGTGTTCCTAGTCCCTCTCTTGCGCTAGTGCTGGCCCTTGTCCAACATCTCTGTGAGCTGTTTCAGCTCGCTGGCCTGGCAGAAGCTGATTAGTTTGTTTTTTTTTTTTTTTTTTTTTTTTTAAACTGTTTGGCTTTCTGCTGATTAAGTTAGCCGAACTGTTTCAGGGTGAGACAGATGAGCACCACAGCATGAGGACGAGGTGGGAACGTGTGGTTAAGACTGGAAGTAGTTAAGGTTGGGCAGGGCCCTCGCAGTGGGAGTGAGCCATTAAATTTGCCTTGCTGCCTCATGAAACAATGTGATAGGTCTGCAGTAGCTTCGATACAGGCATAACAACAAATTGGGTAAGCCCAAAAAGGATGAATCATAAAGAAAATAAAAACTCTGAAATAAAAATAATGGTACAACCAACAGAAAGTGTGGAATTGCAGAAAGGAACATGAAAGCAGACAAATCAGTGAAAAATAATGTTCCAGGAAAGATGAACAGAGATATATTAAAGACCTAACACCTGAAGCTGAAGCTCCTGCATGGTAGGAAACCACAGATCTTGTTTACCAAGTTACAAAAATCCTGTGTGGCTAGTTTAAACAGGAAATGGGCTGATCAGAAGCAAAGATAGAGAAATGCGTACAACAGAGATAAGACAGATGGGTAAAACATTTTAAAGAAGTCAGTGACAAAAACTCAGCCCTACCTTGACATGAGATTCTGTGACACAAGATGATGTGACTTCAAACAACAGGAGATTGACACTGGCTCAGTAGTGATATCAGAAAAAGCAAGTTGTAGTCCGGTAGGTAGCAGCAGCAACGCAATGAAAGATGATTTGATTGTACCAGAAAAGCCAAGAGCCCATGATGTCACTGCAGAAGTAAAATTCAAAAAGCTGTTGAATAAAATCTGGGAGAAAAACTACTTTTGATGAGGGTGAACATAGAGTTCAAATATTTAAAAATGAGACTGGGTAAGTGTCTCTTTGGCCGATGCTACAGGGGAGGTCATCTGCAGTGGAATGTCACACAAGATGACACAGATGTTGGAGGCAGAACTGGAGAACAGCCTCTGGACTTAGGCCCAGAAATCTGGGTATTCACACAAAAGAGCATCCTGAAAGAACACATGCAGTGACAAGCTCTGTTCATCACCAGTTTCTCTGCTTTTTTTAAGGTTATTTGATAGCTGCCTCGGGACCACCTTGGGGAACTACAGCACTCAGCTTGTCCTCCATCACCCTGGCCTCGCAGACGGGGATGGATGACAGCATCTGGGAGGGCATCTCAGTAATAGGTTAGTTCCCTTTGAACACTGGTGTAAAACAAGGGTACACTTGGTTTCTGTTGCTGTTTTGCATTATCATACGTAGCTACTGTGTAGGCAGCACACCAGGGGGTGGATTGCACATATCTTGGAAGCGTAAATTGTGCTAGTATTATTGTGTTACTGAGCCGTAGACCTGTAAAAAGCTGTGAAGATACATAACCAAAAAAAAGTGAGTCAAACAGCATTCAAAATGAGCTATCAAAGCAAACATCCCAGAAAGCTTAATATCACGCATCAAAGTCATATTAGAAAACACAAATTCTGGGAAAGTAGAACAGTTTGCCTGTCCTCCCCATATCCCACTTCTGAGTAATTAGGAAGGAACTGACAGCAAGGATAGGAGAGTCTTCCACCATTCATATTCATTTCAGCGTATGGAAATCCAAGGTATTCAGTCCCAGAATAAAAATGAGATTTAAAAAAATATTATTATTTACATGTAATTACAGTGCTAAAATAGACTCTGGAAAGTAGAGACATCAAAGGTGCTAGAAAACTAGATGCCTTCTTGAAAAAAAACTGTTTATGAAAAAGTCTGAACATATCCTCAGCATAGAGTCGAGCAGCCCACCGGCTCCTCTTCTGCCGGAGTCTGCGGGGAGCACAGGAGGTATCTGACGTGTGTCCTCGGAAGGGCAGCCCCCAAGAACAACCCCCCCCCCCCCGAGCAATCCAGCGGAGACCAGCGTGTGTGAAGAGGACGCTCATTAGAGATCTTAAGAAGACCCACCCCATAGGGGTGACAGTGACCAATCTCAACCGTGTCCACTAGAAATACCGACAAATGACGGCGTGGAACGGAAGGCACCGGCGCCCACTGCATGTCCCAAACTTGCTGCAGGAAGAAGATGGTAAGAGTAACATAAGGGCTACCAGAGAACCAAATATACATCCCCATAATTGCTTTGTTTTCTCTATGAAGCAAAACTTGTGTTAGCTGGCTTATTTTATTAGCTGCCACTGGAGGTAATAATCGTGAACCTTTCCAAAGGGGAGGAAAATAAAGCTCTTGCTCGAGATGCAGAGAGCAGCTGATGTCCACACTAAAGCTCTCTGCCAAATGCTTCAAGGAGCAGGGGGCCTGGTGCCCAGGCACCACCTTGTAATTGCTGCAGGCACCACAGACTGGGGAGAAAGTCCGTGCCAAGAAGCGTTGTCAGGTGTGGGACCCAGGTAGTGATGCCACACTGAAAAACACGTGATCCCTGATGAAAGGGGTTTTGCCTTTTTTTGCCTTTCATGTATCTTCAAAGGTATCTGGAGCCTACTGGCATCACAGGCAACGATGGTTCATTTTTTGATTACCTAGACTGAACGAGAGATCTTTAATCAAACTGTGTTGCATTAGAGACACTTCTGCTGTTTAACCGTAAATATTTGGGTGTGCAATCTGGTGTTGATCTGCAAGGTTACTAATATCTATAAAATGAGTAGCCCTTTTTTGAGTGATCTATCAAGTTCTTTCAGCTTATTAAGCTTAGATCTGAGCGTGGCTTTTGAGGTGATGCCAGTCAAGTAAGAGGGCACACAGACATTGAATCCATTCAGGATATATCGTCTCTGCTACAATTCCCAGCTATTTTCTCAGCCGAGTTTTAACACAAAACCACTATTTCTATGCTTTTTAGAAAGTAAAACTCTGCAGTCTGTTCTCAGCTTTCTTCTACTTTTCTCATAAAATCAGACCCACACATAGCCCAGATTCCTTAATCGTATCTGGTGAAATTTTCCCACCTTCTTGTGCTATATATATTCCTACGTCCTGAGCAGCAGCATGTGTCTGTGTTTTGAGTACAGACTGCTGTTATTTTAGATATCTGCCTCCATAAAGGAGCATCAGTGTTTCTTGCATGTATTCATAATGAGAACTTATTCACTATTTTCACAGAGGTTTAACCTCATTTCAAAAACGAGGTTGTTCTTGTTCTCCAAGTTAAACAACTAAATATGTTTTTGTTTTGTTTTGTTTTTTTTTTTAATTTGGGAGTCTGCCCACCAAGCCCATATGTACTTATATGTATATAGCAGTTGAAGTGAGGAGCCTTATTCAGGAGATGCTCTTGAACGTGTGCCTTCTTTTTAAGCACCTACTGAAAATAAGTTTGGTGTGCATTTACACACTTTCCTGAATGGGGGTGCACTGAAGAACAGGTTTGTCTCCTGGAATCAAAATCTTGAATTGAAATGGCATTGCCTCGATCACTGGCTGCCTGCAAGGCTGACAGCAGCGGCCAGGGCATATAAACCATAGCTCACACCTTGCCTGAGCAGCAATATAATCGTGCATTGTACACACTGCATGTAATCATCTGACGACTCCTCAGGTGAGATCACGCCGTAAAGTATCCCGCCTTTACAAAGTGGAAGCATCAAGATGAAGGCCACGGGCCCCAGACCACAGCCGTGACGAAGCAGTATCTACCTTATGACATTCAATTTTGTTCCATAATTAGAGCACTCAATGATAGACCGGAAGGCATACTTACCCCGTGTTAGCACGCTCTCTGCTGCGAACGAGGTTGGGTTAATTCCCTAAAAGGCCAGGCAGCGATAGGAGGTGGAGGGAAGGTCCCAGTGCTGACTGGAGATGGAACCAGCAGCGTGCTTGCTGCCCTGCCCTGCCCACCCCCGTCCTTCGGCCTCGACCGCCGGCTCCGCACCGAGAGCCCCCACGGCAGAGAACAACAGGGCAACGTATGCTTTTTGTCATTTCCCGCTAATAAATGATTTCTCCTTTGGACTCCTGCTGCAGCACTGCTCCTGGGCAAGCTACCGGTTGGGTGGGTCAGCTGCAAGCCTTGGGAACAGTTAAGACTCTCAATAATTTCCCTAATTTTCTTGGATTAATATTGGATTAATTTAATCTCTGTGAAAACAATGACTTTTAATACGAGACCTTGTCTCTCTAGGCTGATCTGGCAGGTTCAGCCATAGCTCATGTAAGCTGGAACATTAAGGCTTGTTTCAAAGTCTTGTGAGCCAAGACACAAACATGGGCCCCTATTTTCCTTTGAAAAATATGATTAACTTTTCATTTTCCTCTTAGGCAGCATTAGGCTACTCCCTTGAGTAAGCAAAGGGTCCTTTATATTTTGTAGATATTCAGGGAAATTACCTTGGCATTATTGTTCCATAAATCACTTTCAGAATATTCTAGATACCATGCAGGGATGGAAAGACAGTCTGTAACCAGAGCGTACAGCCTAGAAACAACCGAGATTAAATGCAAGGGCAGCAGGCACAACGTACAAAACAGATAAATCAGGATGACTGCAGAGTTGCATTCTTGTTTTTCCACTGTGCTAACTCATGGAGAGCACAAAACAAGCCTGTGTAGCAAAGACATATGAAAACAGACATACTGGAAGACATATTTATGTTGTATTAGCATATTCTCTGCTCTAAATGAGTTTGAGCTAATTACTTACCAGGCCACACAGGGATATGAGTGGGAGATAAGCTCCTAATATCACATTAGGAAAAATTAATTAAATAGAATAAACATAATTTTCTTGATTCTGCTATTTCCTATTTCAATTGCTTGACTTAGCAATCTTGGTAATGTTCTTTAACAAATTCTTTATTTATTTTCTTAAATAGAGAAACAGTGAAAACAAGCTGGAAGGAGATGAATTTCATCACGATACCTCACGTTCCTCAGCAGACTGAGAACTGCAGAATTAGCAGCGATTTCTGCTGCCTGAGTTAATGGAGTGCCGCTACCAGTCACGGGTTGTCATCCTCTGAGTAAAGCGCTCCCAGAAGAGGGTTGCTGATGGGCACTGGTGAGAAACACGACCTGAGGATTTGCTTCTTGGCTGGGCTGACAAGTAATCAAGTAGCTGCATACACCAGATGGAAACTAACCCGCTGCGCCAAATCCGGCCTCTTACCACCCTTGTCCTTTGCCTTCCCCGCTTCACCCCAGCTTCTGCTCTCCCAGCCTGACCAGCTCTTTGCTCACTCCCAGTATGACATTCTTTGCTCCCAGTCTAAGAGGCTGGACCACCCCAACTCCCCAGTCCCTCCTCCCGACCCCGTTCCTCAACTAGCCCAGCCCTGGGATCTGGTGTATCGGTCTGGGAATTTCTCCACGGTGCGTCTGAGCGGCTCTGTGTCCCCCCACTCCTGATTTGAACAACGGGGCTGCCGGGACCAGCGGAAGGCAGACAGCCCCCCGCCCCCCTTTTGGGTGCCCAGGCCTCTTACAGCTCAGGGCAGCAGATGTCTCTCCACAGCTAATGGGATTTTTTGGGGAAAGTTTGCCGTTAAAAATCAAAGTAATCTTTATCAAATGTGCACCGTGATTTTTCATACACTTATTTCACTAGGATAAAGACAACACGTCCCTGACACAAACGCTATCTTCTGTTGGATTTTAAGTCCTTGCACCAAAGTTGCGAGGTGCAGGCTTTGTCACAGAAGACACCAGAATTTTTAAGTGTAGCACATTTTACCCTACAGTCTCAGACACGACAGACATGTCTGAGTTGTTTTATACTAGTTCCCCTTGAGAATGTGTGTCAAGTAAAAAGTCCTGAATGATACAATTTTGTATTGTTTAGATAGGACGAGGTTGCTACATTTAATCTCATAAAAAGCATTCTAATATCTTTAATGACCGCTATACAGACTTTCATTCCTTAGAGAAGATAAGGACTGTCCTTGCAAATAAGAAAAATTAGATCCTGCTGAACCAAGGCCTATGCTCTAAATAGTTCAAGGTGACCAGGGTACAGCTCAGTCTGTTACGTAAAATCATTTGCAAAGGTCAGTAAAAATTAAGGACAAAATGAGGTTTTTTTCAAGAAAAAAACGACTCAGTGATAAGCTCCAAGGACTACGCTGAAATCACGTCCAGTAAAGAAGAAAACTGTGAAACTAGATTTAGGGGGACAAAGCTGGGATGCTGCAGAGTAAGGCTCGCTGATGAGCCAAATCATGGCCTGTTCTGCCCCTCCGGTGCCCCTTACCCTTGCGAGTCGGCTGCCACGGCGCTTGATTTCACCCGAACCGCAGGGAGACGGGGTAGACGGTGGGAGCGCAGCCCGGCAGCACCGCAGTCCCCTGTCCCAGCTCCCGCGGCCGGTCCAGCGCGGCTCCTCTGCACCCGCCGTTCACCGTCAGCGCCAAAGGTGCCAGGAGGAGGAATCCAGGTGGCCTCACCCCGCCGCCTGCCCTGGCTAAATCCTAAACAACACCTGGGACGAGACCACCATCGCCCCCCCCCCGGGTTGCGTTTTTCTTCCCCTCCCTTGTTCTTTCCTCTTTGTTTTCCGTTTAAGCAGAATCTGCTTGAGCTGTTGGAGCCATGGCCTTTGGAGAGCTGCCGCGACGCTGTTAACAGACGGCTTCCAAAGAGCCGTGTCGGCTCTGCAATTTCCGTGTTTCCCTGCGACCAACAGACAATGCGCTGTGCTGGAGTTTTTTCTAGCAATGAACTTGCTGTTCCGAGCCAACACCAGAGCGAGGGGCCGAGTTCCCTTCCCCTGCAGCTCTTGTGCTGCCTTTGTCCCTTGTTCGTGTTGCCTGCCGCTCCAGGGAAGGACTGGGCTCTGACAGCAGCTCCAGCGGCAGCTCCAGCCCGTCTCAGTGAACTGAGTAACTCTCTCTTCTAGAATAAAAACAATAAATTGTCTTACTATTTCTTCAAGTCTGTTAAACAACAGTGTTTTCTTCATATAGATCCTTAACAGCGAGCGGAAAGGGGAGTTTTTTAAAATGAAAGGCTCATTTTTCCGCATTCGAAGTATTTTTATTCTTTTTTTGCACTTATTTTTTTCTGTCTTCAATAAAGGGTTTAAAAGGTTTGGTGTGGTTCTTGCTGCCACGGGAATAGACAAGCTGAGATTTATGCATTTGAAACCTCAAACCCTGTCCCGAAACATGTTTAGCAATATGGTTTTGTTGCAGTGACACAGTACCTTTAATACATTTGACCCTCTGGGTCTATTTATTTTACTGAAATTTGACTCAGCAAAGTTAAATCCCCTTATATCATTCTGCAAGACAACTTATTTTATGTCTGGATACAAACCAATTCACCTCCTAAGCCGCATAATCAACTCCTGCCCTAACAGGCCAGTTAGCACTAATGCGGCTGAATGGAAAAAGAAATTGTGATGGCTTTATAGAAATGTACTGAATTTCTGCGGGATGCTCAGGGAGTATCAAAACAATAGATGGTGTATAAACTGCTATGTCTACCAACACTCTTTTTCCTTGGTTTAGGTAATATTTTTATATAAGGGGATGGCAGCCAACTCTCATTGTATTAAGCAAAATTCTTGAATGAATACTATGAAGTAAACCTTTTTTTTTTTTTAAGCTTGTTTTGACCTGGTATTTGGGAAACCTAATCGACATGATTTATTTTTCCCTCTTGCTATAATACTCTTGTGTGCAGATTCCATTGTGTCTTTATTTTTTATATTTACATATATTTATTAACAAGCAAAACCAAGAAATCAGCTGTTTAAGAATGTGCTGGAGTGAACCACAATAGGAAAACTGTATCTATTTCCATGTTCAGGCTATGGAAGGCTAGCCAGGGGATACCTCTTTTCACCTAAACATTGTGAATCCAGTGGAATATAGTTAAGGATGGTCAGATAAGGCTTTTTTTTTTTTTTTTTTTTTTTTCTCCCCCCATTTTGTGTTAACCATTAGAATCTGGGCAAAACAGCCCACTACCTTAAACCATAAACCAGTTCTTTCTCTAGGGACAGTGGGACAGACTGCCAGGAAGTCCAACTTGGTCTAGGTCTAGCTACTGCAGTGGAGTTATGCTGAGCCATATTTGCTGATAATCTGAATTTTGACTATCCTTGTTATGTTCTTTTTAAGACAGCATAATCTCTGTAAAAGTAATAACTTGGAATAACTTTGTTTTGGTCGACATCTGAAATGAAAATTATGCCATTAACTGTGAGTTGTCTCCCAAGCCAAAAATGCACCCGGTTATTACTTGAGATCAAGAATAAATTTGCAGTATTCTCCTTATTTCAATCTCTTGCTGGATGACAATAATGACAAATTAGAAATTACTTCTGAGTTCCAACTTCATTTTAACATTTAGAATATCTGCCTGCTGCACATTTTACATGACTTCCAATTACAACAATATGTGAGACATCTCAGTCTTTGAGGTCCCTCACAACAAGCCCGTGGGACAGGAAAATGCTATTTTTGTGCAAATGCAAACAGAGCCATAGACTCACTAATTTGCCCAGGGAAGTATGTGAGATATATATATATATATAAAAGGTCAAACCAGTTGTATTTAATTCCAGAGTATGTCTCTAATGGATGAACCACCACCCTTGATCCTAGCTGAATAGTCAAATGATACCTTCAAAAAATACATTAAAATTCACAATCCTGTAGATCATTAAGCTGTTCCTTTGGAGTATGGCTTGTTTGAAAAGAAGTAAGAGAAATAAATTAGGCATTTAGTTAGTTACATATTGCCCACAGTTCTACGGAGTTGTGAAGAAAACAAATCTGGAGTGCTGCATTGCACAACTTCATAATGCTGCAGTTAGATTTTCCCTTATATTTACAGACTGGTTTATTTTAAAATCTATTCAGGCATTGGAAAATCATAAATATGCAGCTCCACTGATCTGGAGGTCAGATTTCTGTAATACATAGCTTCTGCTTACAAAGCTCTCCAATTTAGGGCCAGGCTCTGCTTGCTTTACTTGTGTTTGGTTTAGGACAGAAATACACATGTGAGTGAAGGAGCAAGTTTTGTCACAGTGTTATACGGCTGCACAGTGCTGACACTGCTCCAAATATAAATAAAAATATGTACTAAGGTACTAATCTAAGACAGGCAGAATATGACAGCGTTTGGTAGGAACATTTCTAAGAGGTGTAACAGCGCTTGCACGGTTTCATGGGAAATATATAACTGAATCCTGATATAGGGCTCTTGTTCTCTCCTTACCAGTACTGAAGGTTCACACCAATGCAAGTCTCATTTTGACTTCTCGACTAATATCACAAATTTTAAACACAGCAAGTCAACAGAAACAAAAGCTGGTATCAGTTTTAACCTCTTCAGTTTTGACTGTTTGCCAGCACACAGTATTTTGGATTATGCAAACCTCAAGTCCTACTGTTCACCACACCGGTGTAAAGGAGCAGAAAGGAAAAATTTTAGCATGTAAACTTTCCTCTCAAATCTGTCCGAGGGACAGAGAGAATAATGTCTTGCCCCAAAGACACGTAACACCCTAAATGAACAGTCATTCGTCGGTCCGCGTGAACCGCAAGCCCCTGATCTTACAGCTAATCCTTCTCTAGCCCTTTGGTACTGAAGGGGCCGGCCGGGACACCCGAGGGTGCCTCCCGAAACGGCCACCCTGTTGGGGTATTTCGTGAGAGAGAGACGGGGTGGAAACAATAACCCCAGGTGTGCATCTCGGCTTGTAACACTTCAGAGGAACACTTCTGTCACCTCAGGTACTCTTCTTTGGCTTGTGAAAAACCGTTTCTGATCGCAAATGTAATTAAGAATCACCCATTTATTTTGACGCAAGAGGAGAGTATGCCTGGGAGGCTGGAACATAGGTACCATGGTACCACCAACGCTCTCCAGTGGAGTTACCACTGGCATAGCCATTTGCTTTTAAATATTTTCTTTCCAGCAGTCAACACCCCAAAAAAATGGAACGCAATAAAGGTCTCATCTGTCATTTTACAATGCTAAGTTCTTGTAGGCCATGACTGAAAATTTGAGGAGCTAAGGTGGCACCACTTTGTCACTGGCACTGCTGCCAAAGAGCTGGATGTCAAACCGTATCCCCGGGAAGGAATTTCTCTACAGCTGGCAAATGCACGTGGAACAGCAAAGGCAAAACAAATTTTGCCTATCTCCCACCCTTCTCCCCCAGATGTTAACCAAAGACAAAGACTTTGAGAAGGAAATGCTTAGCTGTTTAGTATTTGCCTAGATCCATAAATGTCTAGCGCTAATTAAAATTTGTCTGGTTTAGATATTGTCTGTCTAAAATTCCTATATATAATCTATTCCCTTTAATTTAATTATCACACAATCCCCTAAGAATTATTACCATAAATAGTGAAAACAGAATGAAACAAATTGGAGAGAGGCTTGGAATACCTCATCCCTTAAGTCTTGGGGCTTAGGCAAGTCCGAGTGCCATGTCTCCACCACAAAGAAGACTTTCAGAGCCGAGAGGGCAGCCGGGACTCTTGAACCTTGTCTGCAACAGTCCTGACGTCTGTCCAGACACAGATGGCTGGAGGGCTCGCAAGCTGTTATTCCAGGTAACGCAGTCTTGTGTCTCTCCACTGCGGCTTTTGGCAGGGATTGTGACTTGTTTATCCTCTATTTCATTGTCCCACCCTCTATTCAGGGCTGTTCGGAGAAGTTTCATAATCAAACAGAGGAGCTGGTTTGGCTCCAGCTGGTCCTGATGCTTGTTGGCCGCTGTGGGTTCGGTTTAGTTGGGTGGATGAGACTTGGGACACAATGAGAGGGAAACTCAAAATGGCTCACAGGCTTTTTAAGAGGTGAACATTTTATTTATTAGTTAATTGCTACTGCAAATAAAATTTTCAGTAACCAAGATAAGGTTAGGAAATTTGTAGCATGCTCCTTTTGCTTAAACTGCTGGATTCTGAATTTTCTAATAAGCTTTGCTTCACTGAAAACCAACTTTGTAAAAGTAGCAACATGTAAAAGCAAACCAACGCTTCTTATTTTCCCTGTATGTGTAGTCAGAATCCTATCTCCAAACAACCCTAGAGAAAGCTTTTGTTGCTATTTTTTTTTCTTGTTAGTTCAGCATAGCCAACAGTAAAGGCCTTGTTTATATTAAGCAAATGTGCAATGATGCAGCAAAATCAATTTAGTCACACTGATGCAAATCCCTCATACAGCTGTAATGCCTGTGTGCAAAGTAGGGCATTTCTGAATATACACAATATTTAAAATGAAGTGAGAGATTCTATTCTTCCCAGCTGATTCATTAATGTGATTCATATTGATGCCCCTGAAAGCCTAAGTTGAAAGAAAGGG